TACGAACGAAGCAAACATACGTTTGATTAACCAAATTATCATGGGATTATTCCCTACAATATATTTTAATTATTTTATTAGCTTATGAGCTTACACATTGTAATTATATATATGTGTTATACAGGCATGAGGCATGAGGCATGAGATGGTAGTAAATCTAAAGACAAGGACGCGACATGCACATTTCTTTAAAAGGATCCACATCCACCCAACTTTAAACATGATCTATGGGTCTTATGCTGCTAAATTTTAATTAGTGTCAATTATATGTGTGAGAAAGAAGTGGTGGAGTAGTTTATATCTGTACAGTACAAAGGCCCATTAATTAAAATGATGTGGGGTAAGTTTAATTAATTTTAGAGATTTGTATTAATTCTTTCAGTTTTCACGCTGTAGCGCCCGTACCGAAGGCACATCTCCGACCTTACTAAAATTCGATCCTTGATTATGCACTCGTTTAGAGGTGACGTTGATATTATATTAATCAACCACTAAGGTCACGATCCTAGCGATATTCAACCATATCTCTAAATGTGGTGCAAAAGTTGTTTGTAATATTCATGTATCCACTTACAATACGGAAGACGATGGGGTGATGGAGGACCCACTCTTTTATTGCACTATTGAAGGTGGGGTTCAATCAATCAATTTGCTTTCCTTCTTCCACTAGTGGCCGATGGACATTGGTTTTACAAACTCCATACTTATATGCACGCGAATGGAAGCCATCTTTTTCCCCACCCCCATATGCTAAATATCTCTTCAGCCATAGGTGTTTAGCTAACCAAGGATACATATATGTGTTGCGAGCAAGTGATAAAAAGATTGGGATATATAGAAAAATTATCAATATTGGTGGGATTTCATCTCAAAATTAATTGACAATAAGAGGAGTAGTCTATATCTATTATAAGTATTTGTGAGATACTTGATCTTTTTAACATGAGATCCTTACAAAAATCTAATAGAGTGCATTGTGGTATGGCTAGATTAGATTGTAATGTCTGCACACACTTACGTTCATCTATACCATGGATCCAGCCGGGTGGTAGTGCAGTGATCTACAGCTGAGCTGAGAGAATTAAGAATAATACATATTCCACCCAACAAGGCCACGTTAATTAATGTATAGTTTATTGATATTATGTGATACCATACTATACGCACTGTTCTAGAAGAAAATAAAAACAACATAATGCATGCCGAGAAACATTTAGCCAACAACGAAAAGAGTATGAACTCATTGACATCACCCTAAAGGGCTAGCAAGGCCCGAGATTCACGGTACAAATGGCTGTTTTTGCACCTTCAGACCGTCCCACACACGTAATTGTAAAAATGGTCCAAATGGATACTTTTTGGTTTTTGCCTCGTAGTTGGTGAGGAGCGCTGTCACACCTCATGGCACCAACCTAGCTTCACGGCCAAATCCTCGACAGCCCAAATAGTAATCACATGAAACAAATGAACTGCAACGCAATATAGCTTAAGTTATCTTTATTCTGTACATACAATTATAGGGCCGTTTGAAGTTTACACCGTCCACCTAGTAAACGAGGGATTTTTTGTGGATCTACCAATCGTATTTTGCACTGGCACTGCAAAAAAATATACCTTTCAGCACGATAGTGTGTTTCGACGCATAATAGTTTGTTCACTTTGAAGTCCAAGTGCTTATGGCTTTTATTTTTTGTTTTATCTTAAAGGTCTCTACCGAGTAGAGAGATGTCATAGATTTTTCCTATTGTTCGGATGAGAGACATTTTTAACAAAGTACGTAGAGTCGTCTCTCTACATAAATAATCGTTTATATATGTCTACTCTCAATCCCGAGCTTGTTCTTTATCCCGGCCAACTCCTCTCCCGACTTCCTTAGAGCACACCACCTGTGAATACAACACCGTAGCTAATCATATATTAATTGTGGGATATATATCCATGTCGACCACTCCTTTAATACTTAAGGATTTCATTGACATGGCTAAGTCATGGGCGTGATTCTAATACCATTTGCTAGGATAACCAAAAATCTTCATATATATTCTACAATATGGTATGATATTATCCACTCTAGGTCAAATTCTTATTAATTTTATTTTTGGTTTCACGTAAAAAGTCTTATACCAATAGAGATGTTGTTCTTTTATTTATATATATATCATTAGATTTTCCTCTTATCTAGCTAGTTAACGTGAGATCTTGTTTAAATTTTCCAATAAGATCAAGGAATCCATTTCAATATGAACAATGGCAGATCCAGACTTTTAATGTGGGGGCACAATATCATAAGAATGTGACATAAAAAATTATCATAATGTCGGCAATATATATCAATTTTTACCCTAAACTATCAATTTCATAAATTACATATATTAAACTTGGATAAATGTTGCAATCTTCACCTTAAAAACTTTTTGAAGTGTTGCAGATTTTACTCCTCTAATAAACTCTCATTTGAAATTTTGTTAAAAAGATATTTTCATATGAATTATAAAAAATATAATATATACTTGATATGGAGTTGATAGGATTCTTACACAAACGGTACTAGATTTGGTGAGATATATGTCAATTATCGCTGAGTTATGCTCGCTTTGATAGTTGATTTTGTGCATTAAGTAAAGAAAATTTTGATTTTTATTAAATTAGCGAGTATTTATTTTATTTTATTTTATTTTATTTTAGACTTTTTTTTAAGTGGGTGAGTTAGCTGATCGTAAAAATTGAATAATGATCTAAATTATAAGGTTAAATTGGATGAATTGAAAGTTTATGTTAAAATTGATGCACTCGGTCTAGTTTAGAAGTAAAAGTTATCTTTCTTCATTATAATTTTAGATTCACTAGCTTATTATAAATATTCAAATTAAGTTAATTAAAACTAAACTATAATAATTAGGTAGTAGGTATAGTTTGTTTAGTATAGATACTAATAATTATAGTAAAATAAATACAATTATAATTATAATTTAATTTATACATGATGTGATATTATTTTATGAAAAATAAAATATGATCAAATTATCTATATAAATATATATTTTAGTAAAACTTTTTCAATAAAATTAAATTTATTTTTATATAAAAAGTTTAAAGAATAAACAAAATTAAAAACTATAATACTATATATATTTGTCATTATTTCGTATTTTTTTATTTATTTTTATTGAGATCTTAGGAATAAATTAGAATTAATTAAAAATATAATTTGCAATACAATTTCATAAATATAAAATTTAAATTATTTAAAGAAGGAAAAATATATTTTTATTTAAAATATACAAAAAAGATCAGTGTTTATGGCAAAAAAAAATCTAACTTTTGCATGCATTAGTATCGATACTATGACTAGGGAGGGAAATGAAAAGTCAACCGTAACTTAAACCAACGAACCAAACCCTTATTTTTACCTACTAATATACATGTGGACCGTCCTTAAATATGAATGCCTTTTTGTCCCTTTATCCATTGTTTTAGAGAATGGTTATGAGATTTTTCTCATCTAAAGAATATGAGATGACTTAGGTTTGTGAAAAAAGAGAAAAAAGAGAGGTTAATTATTGATAATTTTCTTTCGAAGTTGATATGCATTATCAATCTACTGTGCATATATCAACAGATTGATGATCAATCTTTTGGTTAAGTATCAACAACCTTCTTCAACCATTATATTGCATGTGGTTGTCTAATTCTAAGTTATTGGCATTTGCGTGTGCCCGCTTGCATTGCAATTGGGTTTTAGTCCTATATGTATGCGCATGTCTATGTATGTACTATATATAAAAGTGGTTACAGATAAACTTTCTCATTCCATTTTGCCCATTAATTTAAACATTTCCTCTTTTATTTTGATGGCAATTTTGTCATCTCTCTCAATATATCTCTCTCCCAAAATCTCCCCCCACTCTCACTCCACTATATTCTCTCGAATTCCACTTAATTTAGAGTGTTTTAACTTCCTCTCCTTCTCTCCAAATTCCACTTAATTATGGAATTTGAAAAGTTTTCTCAACATCTATTTCTCCTTTCCATATCATTCTTGAGGTTTCTAAGCCTAAAATGAATATCTAGGAATGGTTGAGTTCATTTCATAGAAAACTCTTCATCCATCAATTGAACAATAGTCGTCACAATTGCCAATATATATGACGCTCGAGTAGAGAGAAGAGGAGTACATGAATAAACCAGGACCACATCTAAAGGAGAGGAATCCTAAGATCATACGAAACATGGTTAAGAAAAACTTAAAAGAATGGATAGTTACTACATATACTAACAAGTTGCACCTTCTTTTTCGGTAGTTCAACTCCAAAATTAAGCATACTTGATGAGGATAAAATATGTTTAAAGGACTCGTGTTGGTCCAATGGAAAACAGAGATTCCAAGTGCAATTGTCCGACAACGAGCAAAATAACTAAAATTTGGCCCTAATATGAAAAAATTATAGTGGGAATATTTTGTCTCTTAAGGGTCGTTTGATTGAAGGGTTTAAGAGGTGAGAATTGACTTGGACATATAAAGCTCATATTTGATTTGATTAGAGATTTGAAATGATATGTCTGGAAAACTCTTTTCCATGCATCATTAATAAACCGGAGACATCTTTATCCTGCCAAAAAAAGGTGGGTTTTTTTTTTGTCTGTGCCTTTCTGTTGCTTTTTTTTCTACTATTTACTTTTTCCTTGTGCTTTGTTATTATATTTCTTTTCGTTTGTTTTTTTTCTCTATTATTTCTTTGTTCTTTTCTACCCTTAAATCAAGGTTGAGCAACAAATAAATTCTACTCCTTCAAAAACTTAAAATAAAATTTTAGAACTAGAAAATTGAAGAGTTTTTTAAAAAAAAAATTGTTTAGAATTGTTTTTTTTAATAATTTAACTTAATAAAAATAAATTAACTACCAATTATTTATTTAAAATTATCTAAGGTAATTTAATAGTTGAGAGTTGATTTTGATTAATTTTATAACAAATCTGATACCATTATCTCAACCGTAAGCATATTAATCATTTATTCTATAAATTTAGTGGTGGGTCCAAGAGAGAACTTAAAAACAACAGAGGTGGGAGTTTTTTGGTTCTGGAGCCGAACGCGTATGGTACGGGTCTGTTACTTTTATAATCCTGTTGGTGTTGGGCCCCTTCTGCTTTTAGACCACCCATACCCATACCCATGTGCTTTCGATTTGGACTCCCCAACCTCCTCTACGCGTTGGGCACATCCCACGACTGCTCATCCATTAGAATCCACAAATTCCAGTGATTTAAGATGGCTGATGGCTGCGAATTGGAAGAGGAGTTGCCTAATTTTTATTTTTACTCTTTTTTGACAAGATACAAACTTTTACAAGATTACAAGATACAAACTTTTCATCGAAGTTGCACAGTTGAAACAGCTCAAACATGTACTGTCACAGTTATCTATGTACTGTCACAGATATAAGAGATAAGGCGTCCAATGACCCAATCAGTCCAATGCAAAATCAATTTGGATAGATTGGGTTATAAGTTGCAAACACATTACACCATCATAAACAAGGCCGTATTAAGAGAACTGAATATAATTCAAAATTTGAGCGAGGTGCCTCGCAATTGGTCCACCTAATCATAAAAACACGGTAAACAATTACAGCATTCAAGATCACCAACATGTATAAACGAAATCAAAATTACACATTCCCCTTCATGCGTACCCCCCGATTTGCAAAGTCCTCTTTTTTGATGATGACACATCCTGTTTTGGATTTCTTTTCCTTTTCTTGACCTGTTTCTTGAATGATTTTCCAACAGCAGATGGTTGTTGCTTCAACGCAAAGCTCTTTGCCACATGCCCCAAATGAAGTTTCTTGACCACAAAAATTCTTTTCAACTCACCACGATGAGCAGTATATGCACAAACCCAAGAGCAAAATGCTTTCTGGGCCAGCTTCATCATTTCTGGCTGATGAAAGTAATGAAAACATATGTAAACCCCAAATAAGACTCACAATCATTGTCGTGGTCATCTCCAAAAAAATAAATAAAATAAGAACATGTGAAACACTTAGAGGTGCGCCTCGATACACTTGCTTAATCATTGTCAGTTTTGTGAAGGAGTACCCCTTCATTACTAATAATTTTAATACACTTGAAAACAGGAAAATCATACATTTTTTTATGTGTGCAAAACATACAATAATGCAAAGAAAGGAGAACAATCTCTTAATAGATTTCAGGAAGACTTATGTTGAGCTCAATATGTTGTTACCAGTTAATACCGATGCTAGAATTTTCCTTTTTTGTTAGCTCCCACTTGAATTTGAGATGGTCAAATCACATATATATTATCCTTATATAAGCAGTACTCAATAGAGTACACTGTATGTACATAAAAGTCACAGATGATCTCATCACCACAATCTAATAATACCCTAGAAGAGCTCGAACTATTAAGAATAATAAACAGAGGATAACTACAAAACTCTTCTGTTACCAACATCCAGAGGGAGGTTAAACCTAGTTGTAGTTCAGATCTTCCTCCAAGAACCTCTCCTCACCTTTAAAGACCCTCAGATTCCTCTAAAGCTAAACATTAAACCTAGCTGAAGGGGAATGTACTATACATTAACATTTCAAGTCCTATTTACTTTTTTTTTTTTTTGGTAATTTTACATATGATATTAGTTATACCCTAGATTGTGTATCACGTTTTATATTTGGGTTATATCCAACAAAAATACAAATAATGGCCACTAATACCTTGACTTGA